TCCCACTCACCCCCAATGTACCATTAATTCCCAATGACCCCCATTGTACCATTCCATTCATTCCTAATGACCCCCAATGTACCATTCCATTCATTCCTAATGACCCCCAATGTACCACTCCATTCATTCTCACTGATTCCCAATGTACCATTCCATTTGTCCTCAATGACCCCCATTGTAAAAGGCATTCTTCCCAGTGAGCCCCAATGTACCATTCATTCCCACTGACTCCCCTTTCTCTGTCCGGACGTGGTTTAGGGTAACCAAGCACCAGGATGTACATGCAAGTGCCTTCTGATCGCTGGGCAATTTTTAATAATCATCTAGTCCAAAACTGGACAATCCCAGGAGCCTGGTAACCAATAAAAATTTCAGCTGGTGCCAAACTTCTGAGGTTATCTCGTTGTTGTCAATAGGGCCTAAACAAATCTCGATGACTCCTGCATTGGACAGACTAGACCCTGAAATCCATAGAATTTTTGTCCAACCCTGATCTAGTCTAGAGGGCACCAGAAGCCCACAGTGTTCCATGTCTACCGACATCAGCTAGAAAGTCAGCTCTTTGCCACTCCCTGTCTCGCTCGCTTACCACTGGACAAAGAGACCACATTCAAAGAGATGCAGGAGAAAGACAAGCCACCAGATTGCTACACGTTCTTGGTATCTGTGTACTAGATGCCCCAAGTTGTAGGGCTCCTGAAGACCACCAGAACATTGCTGAAGATATGTTGGCACGGAAGTGCCAGTTTACTGTGTCACAGGTCAGTACATGTACACTTGAAGCTTGTGCATTATTCTCGGTGAAGCTACATTGAAACATCTGATTAATAAGTGACAGGTAATGAAGTGGTTTACAGCTCCATGAAGTGTCATTTTATAGCCTTCTATAAAGCCGATGGTGTACAGAGGACAACCAGGGCGGAGAAATCCTTACAACAACATTTAAAGGCCTTGGGGGTTAAAAGGAGATCTGTCTTAGATGGACACAGATTGGTAGCTAGAGGTCACTCCTAGTGCTCTCACTCTCCTTCACCCATGAGCCCCACAATTATGAGAACCGCAAGGTCAAACAACCCAAAAGTGATGATCCAGTTGTAGATAGAGCCAGGTGGACTTTTATTTCTTGGGGAAGTCAGCAGCTAGTTCTCTTTAGCATTACTCCTGACTCTGTTTGTGGATGTTAACATCTCGATTGGACATAGACCTCTTCTGTAGGATGTATATACACCTCTATAGGGCACAGACCATCTTTGTAGGATGTATATACCTCTACAAGTTCTGTAGATCACCTCTGTAGGATGTATATACCTCTATAGGACATATACCTCCTCTGTAGGATGTATATACACCTCTATAGGGCATATACAATTTTTGTAGGATGTATATACCTCTACAAGTTCTGTAGATCACCTCTGTAGGATGTATAAACCTCTAAGGAACAAAGACCTCCTCTGTATGGTGTGTACACCTCTATAGGACACAGACCTCCTCTATGGTGTATACACCTCTATAGGACACAGGTCTACTTTGTAGGATGTACACACCTCTACAGGATGCAGACCACCCCTGTAGGATGTATACATCTCTATAGGACACAGACCATCTTTGTAGGATGTATTCACCTCTACAAGTTCTGCAGATCACCTCTGTAGGATGTATAACCTCTAAGGAACAAAGACCTCCTCTGTATGGCGTATACACCTCTGTAGGACACAGGCCTCCTCTGTATGGCGTATACACCTCTGTAGGACACAGGCCTCCTCTGTAGGACACAGGCTTCCTCTGTATGGCGTATACACCTCTGTAGGACACAGGCCTCCTCTGTATGGCGTATACACCTCTGTAGGACACAGGTCTACTTTGTAGGATGTACACACCTCTACAGGATGCAGACCACCCCTGTAGGATGTATACATCTCTATAGGACACAGACCATCTTTGTAGGATGTATACACCTCTACAAGTTCTGTAGATCACCCTGTAGGATGTATAAACCTCTAAGGAAAAAAGACCTCCTCTGTATGGCGTATACACCTCTGTAGGACACAGGCCTCCTCTGTATGGCGTATACACCTCTATAGGACACAGACCTCGTCTCTATGGTGCATACACCTCTATAGGACACAGACCTCCTCTCTATGGTGTATTCACCTCTATAGGACACAGACCTCTTCTCTATGGTGCATAAACCTCTGTAGGACACAGACCTCTTCTCTATGGTGCATAAACCTCTGTAGGACACAGACCTCCTCTCTATGGTGCATCGACCTCTGTAGGACACAGACCTCCTCTCTATGGTGCATACACCTCTGTAGGACACGGACCTCCTCTCTATGGTGCATACACCTCTGTAGGACACGGACCTCCTCTCTATGGCGCATACACCTCTGTAGGACACGGACCTCCTCTCTATGGCGCATACACCTCTGTAGGACACGGACCTCCTCTCTATGGCGCATACACCTCTGTAGGACACGGACCTCCTCTCTATGGCGCATACACCTCTGTAGGACATGGACCTCCTCTCTATGGCGCATACACCTCTGTAGGACACGGACCTCCTCTCTATGGTGCATACACATCTGTAGGACACGGACCTCCTCTCTATGGTGTATACACCTGTGTAGGACATAGACCTCCGCTCTATGGTGCATACACCTCTGTAGGACACAGACCTCCTCTCTATGGTGCATACACCTCTGTAGGACACAGACCTCCTCTGTATGGTGTATACACCTCTGTAGGACACAGGCCTCCTCTCTATGGCGCATACACCTCTGTAGGACACGGACCTCCTCTCTATGGCGCATACACATCTGTAGGACACGGACCTCCTCTCTATGGTGTATTCACCTGTGTAGGACACAGACCTCCGCTCTATGGTGCATACACCTCTGTAGGACACAGACCTCCTCTCTATGGTGCATACACCTCTGTAGGACACAGGCCTCCTCTCTATGGTGTATACACCTCTGTAGGACATAAACCTCCTCTATATGGCACACTGGCTTTACGTTCTCTGACATTTCCCCACCCCCTCCAGCTAACTCCGCCCAACCTTAGCCTCAGTCCTCCAATCCTCACTCTTCTCAGGCCCCCTGATGCTCCCGCCTACCCTGTGAGCGACACTCTGTCTGACAGGTTCCTCCCTCCACCTCTACTACTGCCACTGCTAGGTGACTGGCCACGCCTCCCTCCGACTGCGCAGCCGCCGTGCGGCTGGACACGTCCCCCGTTGCTATGTCGCTGAGCTTGGTTCCGCCTCCTGTCGCCTGTACGGCTCTGTGAGTGGCTCGCAGTCGGATGGTTGCAGCCTCTCTGACGTCACATTGAGACGCGGAGGTTGCTGGGAGTTCGCTATGACAGGACGGGGACTGTATAGGTGAATGGAGTCTGGGGAGCCCGGTGACCCCCTCACATTGCCTCAGGTGTCCTAATCATTACATATGCGGAAGTGCTGCTGTTGCCTATAGGAACCTGTCAGAATTCTTGTATTTTACTTTAGAGCTGAGCTATGAGAAGAACATCAATCCAGATCACAGTAAGAGGAGAGAGGGAATAATTCCCATTCTGGTAGCCAGTATTAGGGGGATCAGACACTTCTATGTGTCTTGTATTCTTG